GAGTACTACTTTCTCTAGCGCCTCACATGGTCTTCTCGTTCATCAAATGCATCAAATGGATGTTAAGACTGCTTTCCTAAATGGAGAGTTGGATGAGGAAATTTACATAGAACAACCAGATGGGTTTGTAGTAGATGGTCAGGAAAAAAAGTGTGCAAGTTGCTGAAGTCTTTGTATGGACTTAAGCAAGCACCCAAGTAGTGGCATGAGAAGTTTGAAAGAACTTTAACAGCTGCAGGCTTTGTTGTAAACGAAGATGATAAATGTATGTACAATCGCCATGGTGGGGGCGAGGGAGTTATCCTTTGCTTGTATGTTGATGACATACTGATTTTCGGAACAAATCTGAAAGTTATTAAGGAGGTCAAGGATTTCCTATCTTGTTGTTTTGAGATGAAGGATTTAGGAGTGGTTGATGTCATTCTGAACATCAAGTTGTTGAGAGACGATGATGGTGGGATTACATTGCTTCAATCTCACTATGTGGAAAAGATCTTGAGTCGTTTTGGCTATAGTGACTGCAAGCCCTCCAACACCATATGATGTCAGTGTGTTGCTTCGAAAGAATCGAAGAATTGCTACAGATCAATTGAAATATTCTCAGATTATTGGCTCGCTTATGTACTCAGTCAGTGCTACAAGATCTGACATCTCTTTTGTTGTTAGCAAACTGAGTCGGTTTGTCTCAAAACCAGAAGATGTGCATTGGAAAGCTCTAGAAAGAGTTTTGCGTTATTTGAAAGGCACTGCGAATTATGGAATTCACTACACCGGGCACCCAAAGGTGCTTGAAGGGTATAGTGACTCAAACTGAATCTCATATGTTGAAGATAAAGGCCACGAGCGGATATGTATTCACTCATGGGGGTGGCGTTGTTTCTTGGAAGTCTTGCCAGCAGACCATCTTAACGAGGTCAACAATGGAAGCAAAACTCACATCACTAGATACAGCTACGGTCGGAGCAGATTGGCTTCGTCGGCTCTTGAGTGACTTGCCGGTTGTTGAGAAACCTGTATCGGGTATCCTTATGAACTGTGACAATCAAACTGTGATCACGAAAGTGAGCAGTTCAAAGGATAACATGAAGTCATCAAGACATGTTCAGAGAAGGTTAAAGTCTGTCAGAAAAATGAGAAACTCCGGAGTTATTGCATTGGATTATATCCAAACATCTAAAAATCTGGCAGATCCTTTTACTAAGGATCTGTCACGTAATGTGATAGATAATGCATCGAGGGAGATGGGTATGAGATCCACAATATGAGTTGTTCATAGTGGTGACCTAGTCTATGTGATCGGAGATCCCGTGAATTAGATGTGGAAGACAAGCTGTTGGTCAACTGAGAGGAGAGTATTCTTACTGTTAACAGTACCACTCCATGAAGATGAAACACTCTCCTAAATTTGCATGGCAGGTTGTATATCTTAATGTGTTCTAAGTGGCTCATTTAAGCAGAGATGTTGTCCTGTAGAACATTTTTTGAAGAACACACCTATATGAGTTTGATTGTCAAACGTCACAATCTATGAGCGTAGGGTTCTCTCTGGTAAACTCATGAAAGGTCACGGAGTATGACACATAAGCTCCACCCGCGGGAAAGACCCACGGTAGCCTAGTATCGGTCAAGGCTTTGTGTGAAGCTAGATTCACAGAAAACTTGCAGTTCAAGGCCCAGTCCACTGTTCAAGTTGGTTACTAGTGTAGCATAGAGTTCTATGTGGAAGTTCAACTTAACAGTCTCCACTTCAGTACCGGTATATAAAATAGTGTTTCGGAACCAAAGGAAAATTTTGTGTGCCTCTCGGATCTGGTGAGGGATTACTGGAATTTTATCTATTTATGGGCCAGCCCAATAACAATTTCAGAAATTCCTAATAAATCCTAGAGGCCCACTTAGCCAATTTGTGCAAGGCAAGGGGTACTACCAAAGTTTAGTCCCACATTGCTAGTTTAGAGGGAGTTGGACCTCTTTATAAGGAAGGTTATTTCCCCACATGTATGAGCATGAGAACAAGAGAGACATTCACGTGCGCTCCTCCTCCGCCGCCCGCCTCGCCACGCCTCGTCACGGTGCGCCGCGGGTTGCAGGAATGAGCCGATGTCTAAATTTTTGCCATGCAGTACGGGTATATGAAAGGTCGCTCGGGAGCCCTTCAGCTCCCGGTGCAGTCTCTTGCCTTCTTCTCCTGTGTCTATAAAAGGGAGATCGCTCCTCTCCAGAGAAAAGCATAACAAATACCATCTCCCTCTTGCCACCAAGTTCCTGAGCACTGCACTACTGCTATGTTCTTCCCCATCCCGGCTTGCGGCGTGCACCGCATGCGGGACAGTAGGCCTCCGAAACCGCACCTCTTTGAGTCCTGTACGGGAGAAGGGTGATAAGGTTTTTGGGGAGCACTCCACGTGACTACTGACTACTTCGTCACGAATGCCCCGGACTCCGACGACTACTTCCCCGACGTCGAAAACCTCCTCGACGACATGGCTGGCGAGGACACCGACCCCAAGTCCAGTGCTACTGCTGCTGCTGCCCCGTACGTGTTCTTGTTCTTTCTGTTAGAGGTCCTACCATAGTTCCTTGTTCTAGTGTTTGCCCTAGATATGTTAAGTTCTACTTCATATATGCAACTTGCTCTACTGTCTGTTCTAGATATTTTTGGTTCTAGTTCATATTTGTAGAGTTATTTACCTTCTCTCTCAGATTGCATGAGTTGCTTTATCTCTGCTATTTTAGTCATGCTTTATCTAGTATTTCCATTAATAAAAACATATGGTAAATTGCTCATATTTCCAACAGATGTTCCAAAGAAAATCAATGTTAAAGACGTTTTCAAAATTTCAAAACTTCATGTTTTGAATCTCGAATGAAACATCGATGAAACTTTTTAAACCCAAGTTTTTATCGATGCATGTTTGCTAGGGGTTCCAATGAATTTTAAAATTTCATATTTTGAATCTCGAATGTAACATTGGTGAAACTTTGTGAAACTCTTTTGTCGACGCAAGTTTCATTTGGCTTTTAGTGACTTCCGGTGTGCCTTTATGGGTTCATATAGCTTTAGTACTTTTCAATGAAAATTTTTGGACGAATCTTAAAGATAATGAAGAGTCTTGAT